TAGCATAATATTCACATTCACGTATCAATATCGTCAAAATGCTACATTACTTTAAACAGAAACAATGCTCTCACTTTGAATTAGTGGGTGGCTCTTAAAAGAGCCGTTTTGATAAAACGTAAAAATGACTTGAGTTTATTTCTTCTTGGCTGCTGTCTTTTTAGGCTTCGCGGCTTTGGGTTTCGCCGTCTTGGGTTTGGCTGCCTTGGTCTTTTTAGGGCTCTTGGCTGCTTTCTTAGGAGTCGCTGGTTTCTTTGCTTTCTTGGGGCTCTTCGTTGCCTTTTTAGCAGCGGGTTTCTTGGCCTTCTTCGGAGGTTTCTTAGCGGCGGGCTTCTTCGCTGCTGCGGTCTTGGGCTTCTTAGCGGCGGCAGGTTTCTTGGCTGTGGGCTTCTTGGCTTTAGGAGCGGCTTTCTTGGCGGGTTTTGTCTTGATCTCGGATTGTTTCTTGTTTAGTTTGAACGAGCCGGAGGCGCCGACTCCTTTGGTCTGGACCAGGGTGCCTTTAGTCACCAGACTCTTGACGGCGATCTTGACGCGGGAGTTGTTCTTCTGAGTGTGAGTGTGTGTGTGTGTGTGTGTGTGTGTGTGTGTGTGTGAGTGTGAGTGTGTGTGTGTGTGTGTGTGTGTGTGTGTGTCACTTGAGAGTTACTGTTTTGGATGAAGGACAGGGAAACCAATAAATAAACCTCTCTTACATGTCAATCTTTAACTGGAGTCATTTTCTAACATTTAAAGCTCATTCAGCCAGTTGTCTCCCTCTGATTAAATGTATCACACTTATGTCATTGACAGGAATCAATGTTGATTAAAAACCCTAAAATTCAAACAGCATCACAGTCAAATCAGACAACAAGAAGGCAGCGAACATGACAAAATCAAATTAAGGTTACAATTTAGATGATCTGCCAAATATTTTTAAACAAGTAGTTTAAACAGTGGCTATTAATTGATATGACCAAATTAAAGAGAAATGTTTGTTTTATCTGGTTTCATCCTGATTCTATTTACAGAGATTATCATGTCATTTTTCTGTTTAAGGCACACGTCAACCCACGTCAGCACCCACAGCGACTGTCAGAGGCCTGAGAGCGGAAGACTGTCTGTGAATGTACTTTGACTTGTTTTCCACCGCTGCTCTGTGGGTTTAACAATTCAGACTCTAATCAAGTGCCAAAATAAGATTTATGTCATGGTTTTAACAGTCAGAATACTTATTATTGTAGAGATGAATACCAACAAAGACTTTTGCTTGCCTGTCCCAAAGCCATCTTCCTTTTGGAATTCCTGAAGATGTTGCGATACAATAGTCACACAATAGCAATGCTTTCCCACATACTTTGCTATTCTAATTGCGCTTATATCCGTTGTTGGTATTAGTAGCAGTGAGTGGTCATTTATTTAAGTTTTATACCATCATCCTGATGACATAGTCATTCAGCAATCCTACAACCTGAACCATAGTGAAACCATCCTTACATTTTCATGGGACTGACAAACCCAGTATTGATTTTAAATGGAATAATATCACATATATGTTTCATGTATGAAATACAGAAAGATCTCCCTCTAATATCATCACACTTAGACAAAGGCCACACAGAGATGGCATGAGATGACAACAGCAGAAGATAAATCACTCACACTGACCCCCAGTCACTTACGCATCTCACATTCTCATTTTGCACTGATAAATTGCGATTAAAGTGGCCGTGGACAAGACATGATGTAATCACCCATAAACAGATGGTTGCAAAATCTTTCAGAAATTGCAGTAACATTTGTGGTTTCATACTTCCCTTTTCTGAGACAGTCAACAACATTTAGTCAAAACTACTTTATTTGACCAGTCTGACGATAGGTTTTTAAAAAAGCTTTGCATCCCTCCCTAACAAATCATAGGTATATAGTCCATGCATGAACATGTCTGATGAGAGTTTTATATGTTCTTATAATTTATACAGAAACAATTAATCATTGATGAGCTTACTGAACATATACAAAACTCAATATACTAACAAAATATAGACTGAAACTATAGTCAGGGGTATTACGTATAAAAAGTCATAGCAATAATCATGCTTTTGGCAAATTATACTTTGTGTGTGCGTGTGTGTGTGTGTGTGTGTGTGTGTGTGTGTGCGTGCGTGCGTGCGTGTGTGTGTGTGTAAAGAATATTCCATACTTTCAAAAATTATTACAAAAGACAGGATGACACATTTTACGGAGGAGTCATTTTCTTCCTTATTTGTTTGTAGGAAGTGTTGAGTATAAAACAGCCTGTGTGTTTGACTGTGTCATTAATAGATCAGTATGGAGCTCAGTCTACTTCCTCTAATGCTCTGTGAGTATAATTTTCTAATTTATGCACTAATTTCTTGTTTTGTGTAATGATGTAGTGAATCAGTGTTCATCTGTATTTCATCTCTGCATGAAAGCTAATTATACTCTCATGTGCTGCATGTAGCTGAGTGAGATCAGTGTATTTATTATTTATCATGTTCTGAAATGTTTGTAAGTTTGTTTTCTTCAGTAGATCTTCATCAGCAGTTAGTGCATCTATAGTCTTTACTTGTGATGTGATGTGGTGACGTTACTGACCACTTATGAAGTACTGATGGCATGCAAAATAAGATCTGCAGTTCAGTGTCTCTGTTGTTTCAGTGGTATGATGACAGCATTTTTGTGTAATGATGTAGTGAATCAGTGTTCATCTGTATTTCATCTCTGCATGAAAGCTAATTATACTCTCATGTGCTGCATGTAGCTGAGTGAGATCAGTGTATTTATTATTTATCATGTTCTGAAATTTTTGTAAGTTTGTTTTCTTCAGTAGATCTTCATCAGCAGTTGGTGCATCTATTTATAGTCTTTACTTGTGATGTGATGTGGTGACCTTAATGACCACTTATGAAGTACTGATGGCATGCAAAATAAGATCTGCAGTTCAGTGTCTCTGTTGTTTCAGTGGTATGATGACAGCATCACATTGATATTCTTAGCAATGCACATAGATGTTGTCTTCACCCTTCCTCTTTCACCCTCCGTCATTCTGGTCATTATTGACTCCCTCCCCAGTCAACAACTTGATCTCACAATAATGTCACCATGAGCTCAC